GAGGTTCCCCGCTTTGAAAAAGATTAACATCTCAGGGTGCAAACAAACACCAACACTAGGCCTCAGGAAAGCTGACCTCGGACAGCTTGCCAGGAAGATCAGCCAGCTCGACAATGGAAATTGTGGGAACTTTGCGCTGTTGGTACAAGTCAACCAGCTTCTCAGCAGTCTCTGCCTGCTTCAAGCGCTTCTGACATTGCAGGAAATGCAGAGCATCCTGCAGCACGTCATGTCCGTCGGCAATCTTCCCAAAAATACTGAATCCTACACTTACATCATGACGGACTTGATTCACAAAGCTTTTGCTTATGCAGTGTCGGTCCAAGAAAAGGTTGTCCAAACACGGATTCTCGTTGCGACCATGGCTGAAGCACTGCCTGTGGAGAAGGCCCTGAAGACGGTGCGCTCGGCGTTCGATGCGAGGAATTACAAAGATGTGCCGCTCGCTCGGGTTGACTACGGCTCGGACTACATCCTGCACGACGGGAAGGTGAAGGCCGAGGTCATCCCCGACGAGCTGCGCGTTGCCAACCGAGAGGCTTGGTCAGACATGTTCCGTGATGCGGCAACTCAATCATTCATCGTCAAGGACGTGAACTCCGGTGTCGACCTTGCCAAGATGAGTGAACGCACCGATGCGCTGGCTCTCGCCAAGAATGCTATGTCATCGTTGACAGGTGCTGCGGGTGTTCTCAAAGAGGCTCCGGCTGAGGCTTTCGATATCCTCTTCTGCCCGGGGAAACCCGCGGTCAACTATCTGTTTTTCGGCGACTCCTTCAATGCATTGGTCAAAGATGGAGCAAAGACAGATGTTGGCACCATCATCAAGGAGAACAAGCGGACGCTGTTTGGGCACAAGCACGAGGTCTGGTCCGAAATGACATGGGGCAAAGGACTGGCGGAATCTCTTGATGCCGCTGAGCGGGCAATGCTAAAGCTCGCCGAAAGGCCTGAGCCCCGGCCGTACGTCATCGTTATCTCCTGGTCTGGAAATGATGTCATTGGGCGAAACGGGTACATTGAGAACCCCGCCGCCCTAGCGGGCTGGGCCACTGACTCCGAGGCAAAGCGCAAGGCTGCGATGGACATCATCGAAAGGAACGCCCGCGCGGTGATGACTGTCCGTGACCGGCTGCGACATATTGCTTTTCGAGAAGACGTGATTCAGGTCGTGCTCATCGTACCCCGGGACTTTGAGACGTACGGATTGAGCGAATCTTACAAGACTCAAATGGACGGTCATGCACGTTTGTTGCACGGTTCAGCGGGAATCACCGTCCTCGACCCCCAGACACTCATATCCAACACGTCCCGGGCAGACCGTATCCACACCGATGACACCGAGCGCAACAGAAAACATTACATCAACTTCTACGTGGCCGCCGCGAAGCTCGGGTACTGCATCGGCCAAATCAACCGCTTCGAAGGGGCTATGAATTGGTACCTCCTCGAAAGGGAATACATGAACATCGACACATCTATTCCCATCGTTGGCGCTACACCCCAGGAAACTGGCGGTCCGGCAATTGCAAAGAACCCTGAGGACCCTTTCGACAACGAGGTCCGCGAGAGGGAGCTGGAGGCGATCAATGAAATCGCTGCGCAAGAGCCGAAGCGCGAGATTTTCCTGGAGACCGAGAAGGAGGCTAACCCCCTCTACCCCCTCGACACCGTCAAGGAGGAAGCAAAGATTTTGCAGATGATGCAGCCCGACATCCACGCGGCGACCGTCAGCGGCCTCAACGATGTGATTGATTGGTCTTCTTCTTCCGATGAGGAGGACTTGATCAGCTTCGACCTGCCCCCTGGCTCTCAGCCTAAGGTCAGCCGGCCGAAAGGCCAGGCCGTTGAGGTTGCCGCAGTGGATCCGAACGATGTTGGCGAGGACGGCCAAATCAAGCTGTTCCTCACTTCCAAACGGAAGAGTCATAACAAAATGACTGCAGCTCTCAGTGCTGCGACACCAAAGGTGAAATCAAAGGCAATGCCAATGCCTGCTGCCTCATCCAGCGGTCAGGCGCCCGTGGCTGGGACTAGCAAGACTCAGCCAGGAGAGACCCGTGGCCCGGAGAACATCCCCAAGGCGAAGGCAGTTCCCAAAGCTGCTTCAAAGCCCGGGGAGACCCGTGGCCAGGCTGCTGAACCCAAGAGGGAGTGGATCAAGTGCTCAGGAATCAAGATTCCCCAGATCCAGAACTATGGCAGAAGGACGTTCTTGAGCAAGAAGGTGTCGTATTTGGTTCGCGGACATGCCCATGAACACGCGACGCGATCCATCCCTGAGATCAATCTCAAGGACAACTCCTTCGACTATGCAGCCGTTGCCAAATGGATCCAGCGCCGATATGACTGGAACTGCTCCCAATACACTCTTCTTCAGGCCACGTCCACATCGAATCGGTTCGAGGTCTACATCGAGCACGCGCCGGCCGGGCAGCAATGGAACGGGCTCAGTTTCATGCCCCTACGCATTCGCGCGTTCACCGGCCACAACGATTGGGTGACTGAGGCCAGTGGCTTTGACAATATTCCTGGAGATCCCATTGCAATGGATGTCAACTACTCCATCGAGCACGCAAAGAAGGGTGTGCGACCGGGCTTCTGCAAAGATTTCTCGGACGCACGCCGAAAGGCGCTGCCCAAGATCGCCTACCACACGTGCAACATGCAGAACTTCTTTGACATCATCTACATGGGCATCTTTCCGGGCGGCATGGGGGACCGGCAAACCTCGCGTGGTCACGCCTACCTAACGGTGGTGCCTCCTTGGGACAGGCATGGCCGGAAGGCGGGGGGTGCGCGTGCTGACCGACCCATCAACATCGCCGTCGACGTGGAGATGTTGATCCAATTGGGGTGTCGGCTGTACGCACCCGGAGACGGGGAAGCCCTGGTGACGGAGGATTGGATCACGAACAAGGTCCTCATCTACGCCTACGACGCTGAATGTGCCAAGTTTATCTGGTCCAACCGGATGTACGTCAGCGTCAGGCGGAACTACCAGGAGAGCATCAAGAAGTACCGAGAAGAGACCCAGAAAGGCGTCGTCGGTACCCCGGTGCTGGAGTCCTTCATGGCCAACCTCGAGAAGGAATGCAAGGCCTACTACAAGCAATGGGCTCCAACGGCGTGCCGTGACTTGACTCGGCCCCATCGCATCGGCAATATCACGAAAGTCAAGGATGTCGTCGACGAAAATCTTCCGAAGGACGAGCAAGTCATGCTTGAGTTCGAGACTGCTCGCTACGGCCTCTACAGAAATTGGGCCCGTGCTGTGACGCAGCAGCCCGGGGAAACCCGAGGCCGGAGTGGTTTGTGGCAGGACCTCGACCCCAACAAGAAGAAGTCGACAAATTGGCGGTTCGCCGAGGTGATGCACATCCCTGACGTCGAGTGCCCTCGCTGCAAAATCCTCATCCCGGTTGGCACCATCAACTGTTTCCAGTGTGGCCAGTTGATGGAACGGATGCCCGACATCAAGAAGATAGCCAGGGTCGTCCGGTTGCAGGAGATGGCCAACTCATTGGGCGTGCCGCTGTCCATGGACCAGGTTGAGACTCAGATTTTGACGCAGCGAAAGGATGCGCGGGGGGATCGGAGCGCAAGAGGGGGCCTTGGCATCATGAAGGACATTGCCAAGAAAGCAGTTCTTCGCAACAAGGAGTACACCACGCTCTACGAGAGGCTGATCAATGACCCCTTTTACGCCTACACTGCCGCGCGGGGAGACCTGACGCCGTCCGCCCTCGAGTTTATCGAGAAAGTGGCACGATGCATCATTCCGAATTTCGTGAGAACCAAGGAGATGATCCAAGGAAGCGTGGCTGTGCCGAAATATCACGCACGGCTAACGCTGGTGCCGCCTACGGAGGATGTGCAGGAGGTCGACCCGAAGGACGTCTACGTTGTGCATGGCGGCAGGTTTCTGGAACCAGAACAATTTGCTGCACTTTACGGAAGCCTTGACAAGAGCAACCGCTACAGCGTGATGGGCTGGACCCGGGATTTCTCGTCTGTGGGAGACCCCGAAATGGTATTGGTGGAGTTGCTCTGCTTCGTCGAAGAGGAGATCCCCAACATCGAGATCCCTGGGCGGGCCACCCCGCTCCCTGCAGTTGTCGGTGTGGCGCGCAAGCCCATTCCGCAGCTCCGGGAGACCGGTGGCCAATGGCAGGATCGTCAATGGAGCCAGTCGTACTGGGGAAGTTGGGGCCAGTCCTGGGACTCGTGGTGGTCTGATGATCAGCGCCCGTGGAAGAGCTCCCGCAATTGGGATTGGCGATGAATGAGCGATCTCTTCGACAATATTTTCTATCTTCGGCTGACATCCATTTACATTTCAAATTCAATTTCCATTATACTTCTCAATCATGTTGGCCGAGGATCAATGTACAGTGCATGAGCACGCCTCGCGAGAGCGACGGTCAGTGGAGGCGGAAGACCTTAGCTACCGATCGCTCAAATCCAAGTGCTTGTGTGCTGCAAAATGACATCATGCCTATCGGGTTTCTTTGGTTGTCTCATCCCTTTCATTTGTCCTCCTGTTTCACATTCGGGCACGGGGGGTGTAGTTTGCAACGTGATGTATTTATCAACCATGTAAACCCCAATGCATGCATGTCTCACTTGTGCAGTCTCATCATTACGACTGCACGTGGCTCAAGGAAAAAGCGCGCTGAGTACAGGGTCCAATTGTGACCCTTCCCGGTTGTTTAACCTGTTCTATAAGCTTGAATCACGGCATTAGGCATTGATGCCCAAAGTTGCCGGGTGTGAGTACCTAAGTTGGACAGCTGAGAAACAGACTAGGTACCGTACCAGGTGACACTGACGCCTCTCGAATATATATATATATATATATATTATATATATATATATATTATGTGTGTGTGTGTATCGCAAAGCAGTTCAACAACCAGAAGTTGGCAAGAGACATCAAGATAACGGTTTCAAATTAGATCGTTTTGGCTTCTTGCAGAGCTTGTTTCTTTGTTTGCGAGGCCGAGTCGCTTCCTGCTGAGTCGGTGCCGCCGATTGCTTGCGCGCCACTGCCCATCTTGAGAAGGGCATGGTTCAGAGAGGACTTTGCTGACTTCTGCAACGCGTTGGCACATGGTACTGTGTGGCATACATAGGGTGAAATATTGATGCAAACATCAGTGTGAGGACGTGAAGCAGCTGCAAGCTGCGCTGCTTGCCTGGCGGATGGTGGTCATGGCAGGGGTCCAAGCAGGAACAGCTTGAATCACGGCATTAGGCATTGGTGCCCAAAGTTGCCGGGTGTGTGTGTGTGTGTGTTTTGGCAAACTGGGCGCCATGGGGAAGGCAGGCAGGTGCCACTACTGCTGCATGCCGCCATCAGGTTGCATTGAGTACCTAAGTTGAACAGCTGAGGAACAGACTAGGTGCTGACCAGCTCACACTGACGGCTCTTGAATATCATAGTATATATCTCTCTGGCAACGCAGTTCAACAGCGAGAAGTTGGCAGGGGACATCAATAGAGCAGTCTCAAACTGGATTGTTGGGGCTTCTTGTGCAGCATCTTTCTTTGTTTGCGAGGCCGAGTCGCTTCCTGCTGAGTCGGTGCCGCAGATTGCTCGCGCGCCACTGCCCATCTTGAGAAGGGCATGGTTCAGAGAGGACTTTGCTGACTTGCTGCAACCCGCTGGCACATGGTAAGTTGCTTGGAGGGTCCCCCCGACCCTGCCCTAATTCCCAAAGTCCATTTCTTTTTGGCTCTTTGCGGCCCCCTCCCGATCTTGGCCAATGGGGCTTCAATGGGAAAGTCAAATGGAAGTTGTGAGTTCCAATTTTACGGTGCTGCAGAAGGCCGCGGTTGCAAAGGCGGGTTTTGGTATTAGCCGGCCTTGAAGGGGGATGTCAAACCTGGATGTTCAAAAGACGGTAGTAACAGATTTGGGCATTTGTTCTGGCAAGCCATGGAACTGAGAAAGTAGGAGGCACTAATCAAAGTGTTTTGTAGGGTGGCACAAATGAAGAAGGGGCGACTACATTGTCCAACCATGTCTGAAATTGTAACTAGCCTTGGCGAGGGGATTCAGGGGAGAGCAGGTTAGCCTAATCGGAGCCGGATTACAAATCAAGTCAAGTCCCAACAGTACTGTGGCACACTAGGGTGAAATCTTGATGCGAGACAGGCTGAAAATCTGTGAGGATCTGCAGCGGCTGCATGCTGTGCTGCTTGCCTGGCGAACGGTGGTCATGGCAGGGGGCCTAAGCAGGAACAGCTTCAAGCCTGGCATCGGTGCCCAAAGTTTGCCGGGTGCTTGTTTTTGGCAAACTGGGCGCCTGGAGAAGGCAGGCAGGTGCCACTGCTGCTGCATGCCGGCATCAGGTTGCATTGGGTTCCTGAGTTTGGGTTGGACAGCAGAGGGACCGGTACCAGTTTTCTGACACTGACAGCTCTTGAATTTTATGTGGCAACACAGCTCAACAACGAGGAGGTTGGAAGATTAAGAGAAATCAAGAGTGGTCTCGAGCTGGATTGTGTGTGCTTATTGTTCAGCTTGTTTCTCTGTTTGCAACGCCGAGGCGCTTCCTGCTGAGTCGGTTCCAGCGGTTGCGTGCGCGCCGCTGACCATCTTGAGCACGGCATGGTTCAGAGAGGACTTTGCTAAGCATGAGCTCCCCCTGTTTCTCTTTTTTGGGTTCAAACCCCTGTTTGGCTCAAGGCCTGGCGATTCCGCACAGTTGAGTGAATCTGACCAAAGGGCTTCGCTGTGCCTGCCCACAGGCATAGCTTTACATTTATTGCTTGGAAAAGGCGCTATTTGCATCTGTGGTGTAAGTGGAGGTAGTCAACGCTTTCAGGGTCTCTTGTCGTGATGAATAGGGTATTAAGATAGCTCGATCTTCGTTGGCCGAGTTCCTGCAGAGGTAGTTTATGTTTACATTGTCTGTAGTCCTGAGTCTGCGAGAATATCCGAAGTGAAGAGCGGTTGGGTATATCGGCACTCCACCAAGATCTCGAGGAACAGTCAATGAACCAGCGTTTGAGCCATTCTGTCACAAAGTCTCCTGGCCGCGGGTAAGATGGCGCCAGCGCGCTTCATCAGTCATCGTCATCGAAATATATTCTCGTTCTCTGGCATTGTCCAGTGTCACTTGCTGATGTTGGAATGCGTGGATCAAGAAGCACTGTTTGGCACTCATCTGAATCTTGACCTGCGAGTGGTAAAGCACCTGAATTGGTGGGATCCTGAGTGTGTCGCACTGCTTGTCGGAGATTGTATCCAGGGGCAAAGAACAAGAGGCTCGACCTTGAGGCGACGAATCAGGATATGTACAACCTAGTCCTGCTGCCGAAAGTACCTACACAACCTTCAAGCTGTTTTTGACGCTGGTGCTTGGTCTTGCCAGTGAAGTTCTCGCGTCTCCTGCAGTAATTGTGAGCCCGTGATACATTGTCTTCAACATCTCGCGCCCGCACTGCTCGAGCGAAATGGAACTGTTTCAAGGTCATCTGACTGACCCAAACTTGGCTATCAGGTTGTCACTGAACGGAAATGCGTCCTTGTGTCTCTGAGTCGTTCTTTCGACACACCTCCTCAATGCGTCTGGACTGTGAGGATCTGCTCGGGGCGCTCTGGCTGCGCCGCTGAGGAGTCTGTATGGGCGCAAATTCGTGCATTGCTTGAGGAAAAATCTGAGCACCCTTGAACAAGTTGACTCACTCGACTAAGCCCTTGAGCTTCTCGTTGTCCAACAACTCGCGGCGCATGGTGGCATCGCCGCTCAGTCTGCTCTTTGTGTCTCTGCTGAAGTGATGTTCAACTTGGCGATCATTGAAAGGTTGATCGATTCTTCAGCATATTCTCTCCATCGTGCGAGGGGCAAGGGCCCCACGCAATGACAGTTCACACAGGTCCTGTTGGCTCTCTTCCCAAAATGTTGAGACACGTCGAATCTGAGAGAGAAGGGAATCAATGAACACTGTGGCTGCCACTGGTTGCAAGTCGCATCTTGAGAAACATTCAGAGCGCCTCCGATCTTTGCGCTATGGAGGCTGTAGATTGAGCATGGAACGGCCCAGCCAAATGGCCAAGGCGATCGCGGAGGGGCCAACAGCAATGCAAAGGCAAACCCCACCAACAGCAATAGGAAAATTAGAAGGATTTGCGATTGTATTTTTGCGGTGCTGCAAATTGCCGTGGTTTGTGACGGTCTGACCTTGAAGGGGTTGTACAATTTCTGGCCTTATTTTTTGAACAGACAGGCGCAGTAAATGTGTTCTTTCTGTGTAGCTGATTTTTTTGGACTTGTGTGATAGGAAAAAAAGTGGCACACTAGCACTGGAGTCAGTACTCGAAACAGTCATTGAATTGCATCATTTACACGCTGACGCGACACAGGCGGCCATCAGAAACCCGGCCCATGAGGCCTGTCCTGAACTTGTCCTTTTATTCAGGTCGCAGCCAGGTTCCATTTGTTTTCCACATTCCATTAATTTTCGAGACATGTTTCATGTTTCCATCCATTTCCATCCCCCGTCCTTTCTCCATTCGTTTTCCACATTGTCCATCAATTTCCCATCCATTGTCCATCAATTTTCTATGAGTTGTCCCCACATGTCCCAGCTTTTTTCCATCCATTTCCATCAACATGTCCCTTTTCCCAACATGGCGTGGAAAACCTCCCCCGCATCACTTGCATATCATCCACATTAATGTCCGCCATGAATGCGGGTGATGCAGTAGATGCTGTCCACTATGGGCACCCCCCAAGAATCGCCTAAACAAATCCGCAAATCCTGCCCCACTGCATGGACGCAAATTGTCCAAGCAGGACCCGGCGCAGATGATGCTGGAGCATGATGATGGATGATGGTTGATGATGATGAAGGTAATGACGAGGAGCTGATGATGGTGAGGATGAATGATGACGAGCAACGGTGGCGATGTTGATGATCATCACGATGATGACAATGATGCTAATAAAAGTTATGACCACGCACCAACATCCCAGGCGCTGTCCATGATGATGCTGATGATGATGATGGATGGTGATGAGGATGACGAAGGATCATAATGATTATAATGATGGTGAGCATGGTTGATAATGAGGATGATGGGCAGAACAAATTTGCCCGTGGTCATCAGTGATGATGATGATGACAGCCATTATGACTATGATAATCACCACTATGGGCCCCCAGCATCACAAGCAGTCATGATGATAATCATTACTATGCATCCGCTGCATCTCAAGCTAGGTCGAACGGCACACTTGAAACGTGTATCAAAGAAAAGGTAAGGATGACTGACGATGATGATTATGATGGTGATGATGAATCATCTTTGAGCATCCCCAACATCACCAGTGAGGATGCCGGGAATCATCGCTACTCATTTTGATGATGATGATGATGATGATGATGATGACAACCATGATGGTAATCAGTACTGCGCATCCTTCCTTTCACAGTTCGGGCCCGTCAGGCCCGTTGTGTCAAGCCCACGAAGCACGTCGGGCCTGTTAAGGCCCGCCGCCTCCTCCCTCTCCAATGCAACGCAACAGCGAGACCAAATCTGTCAGTGGCTTTGGAAGCAGTTGATCTTGACACCAGGCTGGTGAACCCACGCCAAGCGCGGAGCAAGAAATTGTCTCAAGCTGTGCGCGTGGAATCTCATTGGCGTGGCCCTGTCCGCGCCCCAGCATCACGAGCAGTCACAATGTAATCATGACTACGCGCCCCCTGCATCTCAAGTCGGGCCTCGCAGTCATTATTATCACGATAACTGCTGGTGATGCTGGGGCTGCATAGTGATGATCATCATCTTGGCTGTCATCATCATCATTGATGATTATTTACACGCTGACGCGACACCGCCGGCCACCGGGCACCTTGCCCTGCCCGTTCTGTCACTTCCCTTGCCTGTAAGTCCGATGAGTAGATGTTAAGATCTTAAAATTCTAAAAACTTGGAGATTGTAAGGGTCTCAGATTTGAAGACTTTCGGAATTTAAGGTTTCAATGGTTTAAGAATTAAGGTTCTAAGATTTCATATTGTAAGAGTTTAAGATCTCAAGATTCTAAGACACAAGGTTTTTAAGATTTCAAGATTCGAAGACTTTAGGAAGTTTTTATATTTTTAGAATTTAAGATTCTAAGTTCTAAGATTTTAAGATCTTGAGATTCTAAGATTGATTGTTAGATTTTAGTTTAAGATTTTACGAATCTAAGACTTTAGGATTTTGAGATTTCAATCCAGGCCATTTTCCATCCATTTCCATCCACTTTAGATTTTAAGATTTTCAGGTTGCATGTTTTCGGCAAAATTGGCCCGACTTAGGGGACAACATCACCCGCATCGCCAGCATGCATAACATCATCCGCATCATCCGGGATGATGCTGGCAATGCTGGGGGTGTTGTCCAGTATTAGGCACCCCCTAAAAATGCTCGTTTTTGGGCGCTGCGGGGAGATGCTACAAAAATCGCCTAAACCAATCCGCGAATCCTTCGCCCCTTATAAGGAAGGCCCAGCCCAAAACGTACCCGCAACGTACCCGCATGGTCGGCGGCATGGGGCGCGCGGCCTTATACCTGAAGGTAAGCCCTAACGGGCTTTGGCCTGCGGCCCGATCACGTCCGGTGGCCGGATTTACACGCTGACGCGACACAGCCGGCCACCGGGCACCCCTCCCGTTCTTTCATCTCCTTTCCCTCTAAGTTTCCTGGCATGTCCCTTCACTTCCTTCCACTTCACTGCCGCTTCAGCTCCCTTCATTTCCTTGAAGACCCTTTTCGATCTTTCATTTTCCTGCAGCTTGGTTTCTCTCCAGCGCCCTCTTCATTTTCGTGCAATGCCTTTGACTTGCATTTCGTTCACTTTCCAGTCACTCCTGTTTCCTTTCAGCCCCTTGCTTCGCATCGCCAGCATGCATAGCATCATCCGCATCATCCGGGATGATGCTGGCAATGCTGGGGGTGTTGTCCAGTATTAGGCACCCCCCAAAAATACTCGTTTTTGGACTCGTTTTTGGATGCTGCGGGGAGATGCTACAAAAACGCCTAAACCAATCCGCAAATCCTTCGCCCCTTATAAGGGAGGGCCCAGCATAAAACGTATGCGCATGTTCTGGTCATGGTCCGCGCATGGTCGGCGGCATGGGGCGCGTGGCCTTATACCTGAAGGTAAGCCCTAACGGGCTTTGGCCTGCGGCCCGATCACGTCCGGTGGCCGGATTTAAGGGCTGCCGCCCAGTGCCGCCGACCCCTTCAGTTAGACTGCATCACCAACAGTCATGATGATAATGATGACTACGCACCCTCTGCATCTCCAATCGGCCCTAACGGGACTTTTGAATCGTATATGAAAAAGATAAGGATCCTCACCATAGCCGTGGCCCATCATCGTCATCATCACGGTTATCATCATCGATGATAACCATCATTATGCATCCTCTGCATCACCAACAGTCATGATGATAATGATGACTACGCACCCTCTGCATCGGACTTTTGAATCGTATATGAAAAAGATAAGGATCCTCATCATAGCCGTGGCCCATCATCGTCATCATCACGGTTATCATCATCGATGATAACCATCATTATGCATCCTCTGCATCACCAACAGTCATGATGATAATGATGACTACGCACCCTCTGCATCTCCAATCGGCGCTAACGGGACTTTTGAATCGTATGAAAAAGACAAGGATCCTCATCATAGCGTGGCCATCATCGTCATCATCACGGTTATCATCATCCATCATTATGCATCCTCTGCATCACCAGTCATGATGATAATGATGATTACGCACCCTCTGTATTATCATCGCATCATCATCGTCATCATCACGGTTATCATCATCGATGATAACCATCATTATGCATCCTCTGCATCACCAACAGTCATGATGATAATGATGACTACGCACCCTCTGCATCTCCAATCGGCTCTAACGGGACTTTTGAATCGTATATGAAAAAGATAAGGATCCTCATCATAGCCGTGGCATCGTCATCATCACGGTTATCATCATCGATGATAACCATCATATGCATCCTCTGCATCACCAACAGTCATGATGATAATGATGACTACGCACCCTCTGCATCTCATCATCGAATGATAACTCATCATTCATCGTCATCATCACCATTCATCGATGATAACCATCATTATGCATCCTCCATCACAGTCATGATGATAATGATGACTACGCACCCTCTGCATCTCCAATCGGCTCTAACGGGACTTTTGAATCGTATATGAAAAAGATAAGGATCCTCATCATAGCCGTGGCCCATCATCGTCATCATCACGGTTATCATCATCGATGATAACCATCATTATGCATCCTCTGCATCACCAACAGTCATGATGATAATGATGACTACGCACCCTCTGCATCTCCAATCGGCTCTAACGGGACTTTTGAATCGTATATGAAAAAGATAAGGATCCTCATCATAAGCGTGGCCCATCATCGTCATCATCACGGCTATCATCATCGATGATAACCATCATTATGCATCCTCTGCATCACCAACAGTCATGATGATAATGATGACTACGCACCCTCTGCATCGGACTATTGTATCGTATATGAAAAAGATAAGGATCCTCATCATAGCCGTGGCCCATCATCGTCATCATCACGGTTATCATCATCGATGATAACCATCATTGTGCATCCTCTGCATCACCAGCAATCATAATGATAATGATGACTACGCATCCTCTGCATCTCCAATCGGCTCTAACGGCACTTTTGAATCGTATATGAAAAAGATAAGGATCCTCATCATAGCCGTCGCCCATCATCGTCATCATCACCGTTATCATCATCGATGATAACCATCATCGTGCATGCTCTGCATCACCAACAGTCATGATGATAATGATGACTACGCACCCTCTGCATCTCCAATCTCATCATCACCGTTATCATCATCGATGATAACCATCATCGTGCATCCTCATCGATGATAACCATCATCGTGCATCCTCTGCATCACCAACAGTCATGATGATAATGATGACTACGCATCCTCTGCATCTCCAATCGGCTCTAACGGAACTTTCGAGTCGTATATGAAAAAGATAAGGATCGTCATCATAGCCGTCGCCCGTGATCGTCATCATCACCGTTATCATCATCGATGATAACCATCATCGTGCATGCTCTGCATCACCAACAGTCATGATTAATGATGACTACGCACCCTCTGCATCTCCAATCTCATCATCACCGTTAGCATCATCGATGATAACCATCATCGTGCATCCTCATTGATGATAACCATCATCGTGCACCCTTTGCATCACCAACAGTCATGATGATAACGATGACTACGCATCCTCTGCATCTCCAATCGCCTCTAACGGCACTGTTGAATCGTATATGAAAAAGATAAGCATCATCATAGCCGTCATCATCACCGTTATCATCATCGATGATAGCCATCATCGTGCATCCTCGGCATCACCAATAGGCATGATAATAATGATGACTACGCGCCCTCTGCATCTCCAATCTCATCATCACCGTTATCATCATCGATGATAACCATCATCGTGCATCCTCTGCATCACCAACAGTCATGATGATAATGATGACTACGCATCCTCTGCATCTCCAATCGGCTCCAACGGCACTTCTGAATCGTATATGAAAAAGATAAGGATTATCATCACAGCCGTCGCCCATCATCGTCATCATCACGGTTATCATCATCGATGATAACCATCATCGTGCGTCCTCTGCATCACCAACAATCATGATGATGATGATGAGTACGCACCCTCTGCATCTCCAATCTCATCATCACCGTTATCTCGATAATAACCATCATCGTGCATCCTCATCGATGATAACCATCATCGTGCATCCTCTGCATCACCAACAGTCATGATGATAACGATGACTACGCATCCTCTGCATCTCCAATCGGCTCTAACGGCACTTTTGACTCGTATATGAACAAGATGAGGATCGTCATCATAACCGTCGCCCATCCTCGTCATCATCACCGTTATCATCATCGGTGATAACCATCATCGTGCATTCTCTGCATCACCAACAGTCATGATGATAATGATGACTACGCGCCCTCTGCATCTCCAATCTCGTCATCATCGTTATCATCACCGATGATAACCATCATCGTGCATCCTCTGCATCACCAACAGTCATGATGATAATGATGGATCGTCATCATAGCCGTCGCCCATCATCGTCATCTTCACCATTATCATCATCGATGATAACCATCATCGTGCATCCTCTGCATCACCAACAGTCATGATGATAATGATGACTACGCACCCTCTGCATCTCCAATCGGCTCTAATCATGGCCGTCGCCCATCATCGTCATCATCACTGTTATCATCATCGATGATAACCATCACCAACAGTCATGATGATAACGATGACTACGCACCCTCTGCATCTCCAATCTCATCATCATGATAGTCATGTCCACGCATCTTTTGCATCACCAATGGGCTCTAACGCCACTCTTGAAATGTATACTATACAAAGACATGGCGACGACTACGTATCAGCATCACCAGCCGTTCTCTTGATAATCATGGCCGTCGCCCATCATCGTCATCATCACCGTTATCATCATCGATGATAACCATCATCGTGCATCCTCTGCATCACCAACAGTCATGATAACGATGACTACGCACCCTCTGCATCTCCAATCTCATCATCATGATAATCATGTCCACGCATCTTTTGCATCACCAATGGGCTCTAACGCCACACTTGAAATGTATACTATACAAAGGCATGGTGACGACTACGCATCAGCATCACCAGCAGTCCTCATGATAATCATGTCCACGCATGATGATGATGATGATGGTGGTGCTGATGATGATGGATGATGATGATGATGATCATGATGATGATGATAACTATCATCGTAGCATCCTCTGCATCTCCAATGGTGATGATAACTATCATCGTGGCAACGCATCCGCAGCACCCTTCCCGTGCGCCTCCCCCTTTCAGGAGCAGGGGTCGGCGGAGTAGTCATCCCTGCTGGTTGTAATGTTGGGATGCGTCATCATCATTGTCATCCTTGATGCGTAGTGATGATTATCATAGTCCCTGCTGGTGATGTCAGGGAAGCCTCGTGATGATTCATCATCATCGTCGTCGTCCTTTTCTTGATATGCGTTTCACGTGTCCCATTACTCGACTTGAGATGCAGGGCTGTCATCATCATCACTGCGCATCCCTATCCCTGTCTCACCAGCAGTCAGCATGATAACCCAGCATCACCAGCGCTGCCGGACTTGAAACGCATATCAAAAGGAGAAGGACGACGAGACAAGCTACTGGCAGGATCAACCTAGTTTGATATGGTGATCGCGAGGATGAGGATGATGATGATGATGATGATGCTGGTAATGATGAAACCTTGGCTATGCTCGTGTGCCACCACTCTTCCCGGCGGATTTGCTTCTTTTATTTTCTTGTGGCAGGGGTGGCGGGGGGGTAGCGCAAACGAGCGCAGGGGGATTGGCGCAAACGTGCGCCTTTGCAAGCTGTGAAGCACGAACACGGGCCATTCCAACCATGTCTGAGAGCAGGTTAGAATTACTGTAATCGCAGGCGGGTTACAAATCAAGTCCCAACACGACCATATGGCACACCAGGGTGAAATCTTGACGCGAGGACCTGCAGCGGCTGCATGCTGCGCTGCTTGCCTGGCGAATGGTGGTCATGGCAGGGGCCCAAGCAGCAACAGCGCTGCCCAATGAGTGCGTGTTTTTTACAAACTGGGCGCCTGGGGAAGGCAGGCAACCACTACATGCCGGCATCAGCCTGCACTGGGTACCTAAGTTTGGGTGGAATAGAATGAATAGGTGAGGTGCCAGCTTTCGGACACTGAAGTTTGGGCTTCTTGTACAGCATGTTTTTCTGTTTGCGAGGCCGAGGCGCTTCCTGCTGAGTCTGTGCCGGCGACTGCTTGCGCGCCGCTGGCCATCTTGAGAAGGGCATGGTTCAGAGAGGACGGCTTGTTTTTTGATAGGCGTTTGCCGCTTGCATGTCATTGTCACAGAGCGCGACTTTGGTTTCGTGGAGGACCTTCAACTTGTACGGTCAGCGCTGTGTGGATGGCGAAACGCAGTGTTGGCAAGAGCCCCAGTTCGGGTTTGCCTGGCCGGATGCGCATGACCAGGCGCAAGAGAGACTTTTGAGGCGTGCGCGTACTCGTCAGACCTACGCTTGCCGTGATCCTTGATGTGTCTGCCGTGCATAAACCTGCGTGGTTTGCACTTGCAGACGTTCATTGGCAGTGTCCTCCCAGGCTGGAGCAGCGCTTGGCCTCTGCAGCATCCCATGTGCATCGCTTGGCTTCATGCCAGCAGGCAGGGTTCAAACACTAGCTAGGTTCTGACATTTTCTGACCATCCCTACCCATTCCTGACTGTAGGCGTTTTCGATTTGAAGCCCCTGCCCTCACAGGCCGAGCAACGTGAAGCCTACCTGCGACAGGTGATGCTGTCTTGGCGCGCGTTCTTCTCAGAAAGTTACTGTTTTGAGAATAATTCTGTTGTATCAGCATGTCAACAATTGAGGTGGCAGCCTTGCAGCGCGTGCAGGATGGTGACGCGCGCGTTGTTCCAGCTTCATGCGTTTGCCGCAGGAGCATCTCCTGCAGGTAGTTGACAGCTGGAGTGAGCACAGTGTGGGGTTCTTGGAACAAGCACATGTTGCAGAGTTCGGAAAACCCACGTAATGATCCACTCTGGAGGCTTCCGAGCAATCAAGCCCGCGAAGGACAATTTGCTTTCTTTGCACGATGCCATTCGCAACACTATCAAGTGTCTTCGCTCAAAGGATGCGGGCCATTCTTCGCCAGGCCAAGCGACACAGACATTACAGGAGCCTTCGTAAAGTCTCTCATGCCATTCCAGGTGTTCACTGCCTGGCGCCGGTCAGCTGCAAAGGCTGCCCCTGAAATCCTGGGCATACTGCCTGCCCATCCCACCAAAATTGCCAGGTCAGCCCTGTCATTAACCTCTCCTTGGAGGACGTTGCGCGGGGTGCCACACACTGACCCTGAAGAACGTGTGTCTGTGTGTGGGTGGCATCCCTGCGTGCCTGCTTGCCTGCGTGCCTGCATGGTGTGTGCTGTGTGCGTGCGTGCGTCGTTTGCGTGCTTCTATGGTGGCGTGTTTACATGTTGGGGTGTGTTTGTGAATTTGTGTGTGTGTGTGTGTTTGTGTGTTTGTGGTCTGTGCTTGCTTTTGTGCATGGCTTGTGTGTTTTGTGTGTTGTGTGCGTGTGGGCACGTGTGTGTGCTCGTGAGTGGCAGGATGAGCGTTGCTTCATGCTGCGAGAGCTCGTGCCTCGTCATGGTGCTTGTAGCATGCTTCGCATGCGCTGCTAAGCTAAGGCTTACAAGACTTCAGTCTGAGAGCAAGCATCGAACCGTTGACATGCCGCGAGCATACAGAATAAATAGTTCCTGCCGGAGTGTTGGTTAAGATTGTTTGAGGCTTGAGGTGATGGCCCTCTCACAGCAGGCGACATTGACTGAGGTGAGGTACAGAATTTTGGGCTGTGTGCTCGTGGCTGTGTGCGCAGGCACAACGGAGTGAGAAGGGAGTTTCCAGCAGTGGCTCCGTCTAGAAGTTGTTGTGGAACAGCCCGACGTTTCACCGTTAGTCTTACAGTGATTGTATCGTTAAAGGGAGACTGTATTGTTAAAGAGAGTATTCAGCGCGTGATCGCTGACTCAAATTTGCATTGTTACGGTAAACAGGGGTCCAAATTTGAGGCGACACCTGAAAGCGAAAACGAAGACGAAAATACACTTTAATTTGAGTGCCGCTTTGGGACTCTGCAGGCGAAAATCGGGCGAAGACGAAAAGCAGGCGAAGACGAAAATGCTGCCGAAGCCGAAAACGAAAACGAAAATGAGCGACCCCAGGCACGAAGCTAAACAGCCCGCGAAGACGAAAATGCCGCTATGAAGGTCAGCGCGGTGACGCGCTTTCCATGCCCCCGAAGATGAAATTGAAGACGAAAATCGGGCGAAGACGAAAATGGGGCGAAGACGAAAATGTTGCCGAAGACGAAACTGAAGACGAAAATCGGGCGAAGACGAAAATGCCGCCGAAGACGAAATTGAAGACGAAAATCGGGCGAAGACGAAAATGGGGCGAAGACGAAAATGCCGCCGAAGACGAAATTGAAGACGAAAATCGGGCAAAGACGAAAGTGGGGCAAAGACGAAAATGCCGCCGAAGACGAAATTGAAGACGAAAACCGGGCAAAGACGAAAGAAGACGGCGAAGACGAAAACCGCCGAAGACGAAAAGTGAATGGAGCGAAGACGACGAAATGCCGCCGAAGACGAAATTGAAGACGAAAACCGGGCGAAGACGAAAATGGGGCGAAGACGAAAATGCCGCCGAAGACGAAATTGAAGACGAAAACCGGGCGAAGACGAGAATGGAGCGAAGACACAAATGCCGCCGAAGACGAAATTGAAGACGAAAGCCGGGCGAAGACGAGAATGGAGCGAAGACGAAAATGCCGCCGAAGACGAAATTGAAGACGAAAACCGGGCGAAGACGAGAATGGAGCGAAGACACAAATGCCGCCGAAGACGAAATTGAAGACGAAAACCGGGCGAAGACGAGAATGGAGCGAAGACACAAATGCCGCCGAAGACGAAATTGAAGACGAAAACCGGGCGAAGACGAGAATGGAGCGAAGACACAAATGCCGCCGAAGACGAGATCGGAGACGAGGGCGGGGCAAGAACGAAACGTCGCGAAGAGGAGCTGCAGCCTGCTCCGAGAGGCTCTGAAAGGACCAGCCCGGACATGAAGCAGGTGGCGCGTAACGACCGCCGCAAGGCGGACCCCCCCCTTTTCGAGAATGTCCGCTTTGGCTCACACTGCAGGGCTCTGCTAACCCCCCCCCCCTTGGCAGTCCGGACATCGTCTCCCTGGCATACAAAGGTGGCAGGGCCAGGACTTGCAGCTTGGGCCAGCAGGGGTCCCGCACTACGGTGGGCGGCAAGGTTGCCACTAGACGGGACAGCGCCGTCTGCAGTGAAGAGCACGGATTTGGAACGAAGAAGACACCGGAGTCGAAGAGAGAGGCCTAGTCCGCAGTAAAGAGCAAGGGTCTGAGACGAAGAAGGCGGGGGAATCGAAAAGAGAGGTCGAGCAGCGAAAGTGCCGTCGCAAGGATCTGAAACGAGGAAGATGGGGAAGCGAAAAGAGAGGCCCAGACAGGAAAGTGCCGCCTGCGGAGCAAGGATCTAAAACGAAAAGACAGGTCCAGACACGAAAGTGCCGTCTGCGACGAAGAGGAAGGACTTGAAGCGAAGAAGGCGGGCGAAGCGAGAAGACAGGTCTAGACGAGAGCAAACTTGTTCAACCGTTGTGCATTCCGCCAATGCTTAAGTTGATCATAGGTGCATGATTTCGTCATGGAGCCACAGAAGCCAGCACTAACCCCGAACGCTGGCTGTGCGTGAGTTGCCTTTTGGGCGGGAGTGGGTGACAAGATTGTGGGCACAAAAGGGGGCCAAATTTGGCCTAGTGGAGGACTTCGGCACGGTCGAACAACTGTTTTATGCGATGTGCGTGTCCCTTCACGAACGGTTTGAAATAGTGTTCGGGCCGTTGATTTCCTTCAGATTCATGTGGGCGTTTGGTAGGGACCGTGGAAATTATCGTGGAGGGTTTCGATTACAAACAGGTTGAGATCCATTTTAAGACTACGTTGGTGGTTTCTCATTGGTTTGGTTAGGATTTTTTGTGCACGGGATTTATGATTGACATAATTGAATTATGGACTTAAACCATGTCTTATTTATTTTTTCGAAAATACGAATTTTTGAAAAACATGATATTATATAAATTGATTTCGAAGATTGAAATTGATGATATAATGTATTTAGGAATGACCAAAAAATAGGTGTAAGGATAAAAAGAATTTATAGGATGAAAAAAATATTTGTAGAAAACATTAATTGGTTTTATATTTATTCATATAAAAATTAATGCTATATATTTGATTTTTTAGGAAATATAGTTGATATATAATTAGATTTGGATTATTATGTTGGATTAAATATATATAGTATTTGAATCATATAATTATATCAAAAATATTAAAAATATTAAAATTGATATGTTTACTCTAAAACAAAACCGTGAAACTTGCTCGTCGCATTTGCGCGCGTTTTCCCGGACCGCTTTTCCGAAAAATCCCGGATATTTCGGGAAATTGGTCCGGGCTGCCGGACCGCTTGCCCAAATCTGTCCGGGCTACCCCGGCATATGTGCGGAAGACATAGTGGCTTCATTTTTTGTAGGGACCAATTTCCCGAAATATTCCAGATATTTCGGGAAAGCGGTCCGGGAATCGCAGCCACCCACCATTTTCTCGAAATATTCCGAATATTTCGGGGGCCATTTTCCCGAAATATTCCAAATATTTCGGGAAACGCTATCGTCGAAATATCCGGAATATGTCGGAAAAATGGTCTGGAGTGCGACTATCGAAATATCCGGGATATTTCGGAGAAATTGTCCGGGCTTTGAACGAAGCCGTTGTGTCTTCTAGATCAAGAGACGGCATATATCTGCCTGTCCGTAGCAATTTTGGCTGAAATCTTGGCCCATCTTCCGAGAGTTTAGCGATGCGAGAAGCTGTGAGCCGCGGCCGATTGTTGCGACCAGTGGTGTTTTTCCCAATGCCTTGGGCGAAATCAGTTCGGCTTTGCTTGCACCCAGGATGTTTTCTCGCGTTTTCGCTTGCAACAACTGCATGTGTGGATGGATCTTTTGAGGCCAACAGCCCGCGGAGCCGTTCTCACCTTGCTCAGGCGACCGCCTTTCACTCACTCTTTGGCGTGACCTTATCGCGACCAGCCCGGCCCTCAGTGCGTCTCGCGACCTATGTTTGGAGAACGGCAGCATGCTTTTCGCACGCGACGAGTATACATTTTCTGATACATATGAGATGATAAATTATGTTGGTGCCTGAGTTGCAAAAAATGTCTTGCCGGCGCGGGCTCTATCTTGGCACACCCACCACGGCCTGGACCTTGGCCCCTGAGTTTTTTGGCGCCCGCCTCAACTTACCCCTAATTGGTTTGGGTTGGTGGTTTGGGGATTGAACCCCTGGACCATGTTGAAGTTGAATGGGAAACCACCCCCTAACCTCCAAAACACCGATCCAAACTGCCAATCCAAACCGAGCCGGTAGGAACCTGGGGTGCCCAGTCCAAAGAGGGCCGCCGAACACCTGCAACCTCCTAGCCGCGGGCCAGAATACAGCCGTCGTGGAGGGCAAGGAGAGCGGCGGGGCAGCGCCGAGACAAGCGCGTGACAAACCGTTTCCCACTGGCTCGCTCCACTGGGCGAGGGCGCCAGGGAACAAGTGGCCAGCGGCCGCGTTGGGGCACGCGCAGCCGAGATCTCGCGCGCGCGTTCTTGCAGCCTCTCTTCATCACGCCTCTCGGGCTCAGAGTCGGACGCGTGCACGTGCGCAGGCGAAGCCTGTGCATGTCGACATCAGAATTCGGCGCGCTGTGCGCCGGAGGTGTGTCTCTTTTTGTCTCTGTCTCTCTGCCGGTGTCTTTCTCTGTCTCTGTTTGTCTGTTGGTCTCTCTGTCTCTGGTATCTGTTTCTTTGTCTGTCTGTCTGTCTGTCTGTTTGTCTGTCTGTGTCTGTCTGTCTGTGTCTGTTTGTCTGTGTTTGTCTGTGTCTGTGTCTGTGTCTGTCTGTGTCTGTCTGACTGTGTTTGTCTGTCTGTGTCTGTTTGTCTGTGTCTGTGTCTGTGTCTGTCTGACTGTGTTTGTCTGTCTGTGTCTGTTTGTCTGTGTCTGTCTGTCTGTCTGTGTCTGTCTGTCTGTCTGTCTGTCTGTCTGTCTGTCTGTCTGTCTGTCTGTGTTTGTGTGTCTGTGTGTCTGTGTGTCTGTGTGTCTGTGTGTCTGTGTGTCTGTGTTTGTCTTTGTCTCTGTGTTTGTCTTTGTCTCTTGTTTTTGTCTCTGTCTTTGTTTTGTGTTTGTTGTTGTTTGTGTTTTTGTCTTTGTCTTTTTGTTTGTTTGTCGGTTTGTCTATTTGTTTGTAGTTGATATTGCGTAGGTTAATTTGTATGAATTTATGAAATTTAGTTTGTATTATACAGATTAATTGTTACGAATTTATATATCTTAGGATTTTTTGTATATTGTTGAGAGAGTTAAGATAATTCTGATGGAAATTGGAGGATATTGTGTTTAGGTGTGTGTAAGATTTAAGAGTAAGGTTTAAAATGTTAAATTTTAAATTGTATAGGTTAGATTATTGAAAATTTGAATAATTTAATGATAGAGGTGTTTGATATATATTATTGGGATTATTGGGATATGAAAATCGAATTTTTTTGGTTGTTGTTTCGGCCCGGTTTTTGAGTATATTATATATATTTATTTTGGTGGAAAGATTTAAATAGGAATAAAAAAACATTTTTTAGAGGAATGGATTGATTTGTTTTAAAAATGAAATTGTTTTTGAGGATGTTTTTGGTTTAGTTTTAAAAAAGGGTAGATTTAGATTAATGATAAAATGGTGATACTATAAGAAATTCGAATATATGATTTTTTAGATTGATCGAAACCGTATTGGTATGGTTTGTTATGGAACGAATTTCTTTTTAAAGGATGTTTTTGTGAGGGTAGAAACATAGGTTATTTGGATATTTGATTATTGTTTTGGTTGAAATATTGTGTTTCTTTTGCGAGAGTTTGGCGAAATGAGAATCGATTGTTGTGATTTTTTTTGGTCGACGGTCTTTTTGTTTGCGATACGATCCGTCGGCCTCCGGAGCCGGAGATTCTATGTTTGAATCTTGGATAATTTAATTCTTTGCTACGACAATTTTACTACTTTGACGGCTAACAAATCTTTGGTTGGAAACGCATTTTGGGAAGGGTTTGGGGTTTATAATTAAGTATCTACACACTGATATGGGATTTCTGTGATTTATTGTTGCTTTGTGCATCGTATTGAATGTTGCTGAGAAATTCTATTTATAATTCGTTTTTAGATATTTGGATTTCTGAAATATTTTTTTCTTGAGCAAGGTCCAAGATAAAAGCTCAAAATCACAATTTGTCATATTCTCGAAATATTCCGAAATCGGTTTTTATTAAGCACTTGCTCGGTCTATTTAGTTTTGTTTCTGTGAATACGATTATATATGTCTATTTATAATTAATTAAATTGGAATATTTTGTTTATTTTATATTTTGCTTTTGTTATTCTCCTGCCATGGGCTTCATCTCGCACGCTGCTGGAAGGCCCCCGCTAATATATATATAATTTCAAATATAAAATATATTTGTAAAAAAGAATTTTCAGAATATTAAATGATATATATAATATGGTGATATATTATATTTGATTCATTGATTGAATTTTTAGTTTGGTATTTTAGGATATAGTTCGTAATTTAGTCTATATATGTAAATCGAAATTTTTATGAAATTTAATTATAAATTAAAGACGATATTTTAGATATGGAGATTATATTATCTCGTTCCGAAAACGAGGTTTAAATTAAGGCAAAAAACAATAATTAAAAAAAACAATTCTTTTTATAGTTTAAGGAATAATAATTTTATTAAAAACAAATTAAATAAATTAATTGTAAAGGATATCGCTATAAATTAGAAATGACGAAAATAACAAATCGACAAAATTAAGGTAATTAATCCCTGTTCTTTGGAATATATTTCCAAAATCATCTGTAAGTGCGGCCAAATGCCGCTTTCCGATGTTTTTTATAGGCCAAATGATGATTTCTCTGTAATTCAAATTCGGGTCTTGAATTGGATTTATGGAATCCTATGACATAGAGCAGATGTTTTATTTTTATATTGAGTATATATAGATATCTTAGCAAAAAAAATACATAAATATTATATATTTATTGAATGAATATAGGATATAAATTGTATTTAGAAGAATATTAAAAAAATGAATATTGAAAAGAACGAATTTTCGTTGAAACTAATAAATTAATAATAATTAATACATATTCAATATAATTTATTATTAGTTAAATATATTATTAAATTAAATTTATATTAAATGGATGTTTTTTTTCGATTTGGAATTCTAAATATATAAATAATTAGATTGAATATATATTTAGGTAATCCAAAGAATCGAATTATATTGAGAAAACAAAAGAAAAAAAATGAAATTGATTGTAAGATTGGATATATTTTATTATATTTTCTTAAAATTAATAGATATTTGATTTACAAAAAACAAATAGTGTTCGAATTTATTATAATCTAAATAAAACATGGGGGGAATTGAATTTGAGGGATATATCTGGATTTCATAATGCAGGATTTGGGTTTTTGTATTGTTGATCCGGTCTTTATAATCAGCATTCCTCCTAAAAACCGGTTATATTTCCTGAAAATCTTTATGACTTGTATTTTTAAACATATAATCAATTGCAGTAGATTGTTTTGAGGGCGAGTGTTTAGATATTGTTATGTTATTTCTAAATCGGAAGATTTTTCAGAAAGGGCGATATTTTTTTTCATGAGCTCCAAATGCCTTGAATGCTTTTTTTGGCTTCGCTTATTCTCTTGTATAATTCTCTTATATAGATTATAATTCTTCAAATTAAATATTGCAAATCAAGCATTATATGGATTGGGAATATCTGGGGTTTTCGTCTAATGCATTGAAATATCATTCTTAAATAATTTTATCCGAATAATAATTATATATCTATTAATAATCTGCCAATTCGGATATTCAAATCAAAATATATAGGTTATAATTATAATAAAGAGAGGATCATCCGAATTGCCCGATTTCCTAACATTAGTTATCCCAAGAAAGGAATAGGATAGCAAAGTGTTAACATGATGAAATCATCGTTTCAATTCGTAATACCTCCAATCTCGGTGCAATAACGATAACGTTATGCATTTTGGCGATAGTAAATATAATATTATCAATAACAATATATAAAATATTCTATATTATTAACCTAAATTATCTAATATATTATAAAATATAATTATTTAAAAATTAAATAAATTATCAAAATTTAAATAATATATGTAATTTAAATATTAAATATCTATATAAATCCTAAATCAATTTATAATAATTAGTTTAATTATATTCTATATAATTAATTAAAATGTAATATGTTATTAATAATTAAAACAGCAAAATACAAAGTTATATTAAAATTAATATGTAATAATATAAAAATATAATATATCTTCAAAAATAATTTAAAACATAATAATCTTTAATTCAATATTATTATTTTAAAATTTGGTTTATTTAAAAAAAAATATCAATAAATCATAAAACCTATATAAATATCAACAAAAAATCGAAAAATAAATAAAAATCAAATAAACCCAATTATAATATAAGTATTTTATAAAATATTATTATACAAAAAAAAAATCGAATTTATATCCAAATATAATTCAATATGTTTTTTTACCTTCAAATTCCAACATAATCAATATAATTCTTAAATATAGCCAAATATATCTACCAAAAAAATAATATAAATAAACAAAAAAAATAATAAATAAATCGTCAAAAAAAAAGAATAATTATATATCCAAGAAAAAAATCCTAAATATCGCCATAATCCTCATCTATAAAACAATTCTTCGAATTAATTCATTCCATTCATAATGAAAATGATGATGAAAATGATGATGAAAATGATGATGATCCTGATGATTATGATGATGAAAGTGACAAAAGTAGTGTTCATCATCATCATCATCATCATTTTCATCATCATGTTTATCATCATCATCATTTTCATCATCATGTTTATCATTATCATCAGCATCAGAATCATTTTCATGATCATGTTCATCATCATCATCATTCATCATTCTGAGGATGCGTAGTGATGATTATCGGATGATGATGATGATGATGAACATGATGAAGAACATGATGATGAAAATGATGATGATGATGAACATGATGATGAATCGACTAAGCCGGGCATCGGAATCATCCTGGAATTCATATCCCTTCTCCGCTTAGTCAAGCCCTGCAGATTGTAATTCGGCACACATTAAGATTGTGTTGCATGGCATAGTGACAGGAAAAGGCCAAACAAGCGGTTCAAAGCCTTCCCAATCTCATCTATTCCTTTCTTGCTAACACTAACCCCCAAAGGCTTCCTCACCGCGCGCGAATGATTTACAACCAGTTGTCTTAGAAACCGCTTTGGTATTCCTTCACATGTGGTCTCTTCACAGCTGTCCAAGGCTGCAAAAATCCCACAAACATCAGGTGGAGAGCATGGCCAAAAACGTTGGTAGTTGTTGTTAGAACAGACGTCAATGCTGCAAGCGATCACTTTTTGCCACGCCACCATTCGACTGGGCTCACCAAGCAAACCTGGGGGCGGCTTGTGCTTTGCGCACATTGCCAATACAAGAATCAAAGGACGACTCAGCGCATCCAGGTGGCGCTGCTTGGCCAAAGGCGAGCGGTGCCTCAGTCCTGGCCAGTGCCCTTGCCCATGGGTGCATGAAGCCAGTGACAATAGTCGTTGCTCCCTTCCGATCTTGGGGAGTTTGGGTGGACCATAGCCCCTTTCAAAGTACCACCGAGTCGTGCCCGGCCTCTTGTCGGACCTCAAGGTTGTTCGGGAGCACTCTGCACTGAAGACTCTTGCCCCTCACGAGCTGACGTGTGCACAACAAACGATCTTCGGACTACTTGCAAATGGTTGTTTCTGATCAACAGCTCCTGCCTGAGCATGCTGAAGGTGTTGGAGAAAACCTTGAACACATGCACAAAGTTGCCCAACATCCCAAGTCCCAACGAGCTACTGCTGCTCCTTCAAACGCCAGCAATGGATCTAGCATTGGACAGCTTCTCCATGAAAATGCGCAAACTCAACTGCAAAGCGTCGCAACGGCTTATGGACTTGCTGGAAGCCACCAGCGTCACCCCCCGCAAATCATCTGACGCTCGGCCGTGCGTTTCCGCGACCCCAACCACTTCCTCCAGGGGGTTCGTGGGATACACAGCCGCTCTTCTGACACTTTCTAAAGGGTGTGCGCTCCGGTGGAAATTCTGGAAATCATCCTAGATCCCGCGTGTTCACTTGGGTCTGTGCCGAAGTGAGGTGTTCTGACCGAGAAGTTTGGATAGGGGTATGATTCGCGGGCATGATTTGAGGTATGATTCGAGGGTATGATTCGGGGAATGGTTCGCAGGCACTGACACTTCTGTTGCAACATTAGCTGCGCTGACGATCCGCCGGTGGCAAAACACACGCGCGCAAGCAAAAGGTGTGGTTCGACGTGGCTCGGGTGTGATTCGGGTGCGCTTCGGGAGTAGTAGCAGTTGTAGTGGTAGTAGTAGCAGCAGTAGCAGCAGTAGCAGCAGTAGCAGTAGTAGAAGTAGTAGCAGTAGTAGCAGTAGTAGCAGTAGTAGCAGTAGTAGCAGTAGTAGCAGTAGTAGCAGTAGTAGCAGTAGTAGTAGTAGTAGAAAAAATAGAAGTAAAGGTAGAAGCAAAAGTAGCAAGCAAGTATTAAGGCGTGAGAAGTAAGAAGTAGTAGTAGTAGTAGTAGTAGTAGTATTAGTAGTATTAGTAGTATTAGTAGTAGTAGTAGTAGTAGTAGTAGTAGTAGTAGTAGTAGTAGTAGTAGTAGTAGTAGTGGCGGTGGTGGTGGTAGTCGAAGGAGTCGCAGTAGTAGTCGTAGTAGTAGCAGTAGTGGTAGTATTCCTAGTAGTAGTAGTAGTAGTAGTAGCAGTAAAAGCGGTACTAGTAGCAGTAGTAGTAGCAGTAGCAGTAGCAGTAGCACCTCGTGTTGCGAAGGGGAACGATTCGGGGCATGGTTCGGAGGTGTGATTCGTTTTGTGGTTCGGGGGGATGATTCGCACAAGTCGAACTTCCATTCTTTACTGGGCCTTGCGCACCTTAAAAAAAGGCACACAACCACCTGGAAAAAGGCGCTGGGACACCACGCGAGCTCCACTTGCCCAGCGCTGCGAAAGGGCCCGGCGCCGCCCTCAAAGGGCCCCGCCTCCGCCTCCGGCTGAAACGCTGTAAGTGCACGGCGGGCGAACTCAAGGTTCCATTCTGGCTCATTGAAGTATGTGGGGCGGTCTTTCTTCAGTCTTGAAGGCTTCGTTTGGTAAGTCTTTGACACCCACTAAACAGGCGGATTTCGCAAACAAAGACAAGGAAGCACCCGGCCTGGTACTGCTCCGCGCGCTGGAGCTCCTCGGGCTCCCCTGGCAGTCAGATGGCAATCTGGTCAATATTTAGGCGACCTTCTGGTTGCGGGACTGTGAGCTAGTGAACTTTGGGTGTCTCAAAGTACGAATCGGAGCCCAAGATGCCATTTCGGTTTCCTTTGATTTGCGAGAAGTCCATCTTAAGCCCGGTCAATATGTAAACCCTACGCTGGGCATGTGCCAACCAAGCACAACTACGCGACAATCTAAGTCTTTGCGTTGGCTTTTGCGCGACTAATGCATTCCATCTTCGCCTCCGCCCTCAGGGCTAGGAAGCAGACAGATCCCCTCATTACATCAGGGATCTTCCCGAGACACCAAAGCCAAGTCCTGCCAAGCAGCTCTGCCCAGCCATCATAGGAACACTTGAGGTATCTCATTGCAGTGACCTCATTAGTCGGCCCCTACGGCCCGCTTTGCTCTTGTGTTTCATGTGACCCTGGCCGAGCGGGCAGCGCGCAGCGTTTACAACAATGCTACCACCAACCGTGTTCGGATCCAACACTTTCCGGTGCGGTTCAATGGACAAAGGGTTGGAATGGCAAACCAGTAGCACGCACTCGGTCTCCAGTCTGGAGCGTGACAGGAATAAGTAAAGCACCTCACCATTCAGTAATCAACGCAAAAATTATCCTGGCAAACTTGAGGAATGAGTCCCTTCTCAGGAGTGTTGCTCATTTTGGGTGGCTGCTCCAGCTCCAAACCGTGACTTCCTTTTACAGGCACGCTGCAAAGTGCTGTAAGCTTATGACCGGTTGCTTACCTCCTTGTTTGCAGTGGTTTCACAAGGTCTTTCCCGACATGTAGTAGACTTATCAGAATGCCAGGGGCCTACCCAGCATTGATGTTTTTTTTGCACAGGTCCTTTGAGCAATGACTAGGGGTGGTTTGGCTTCTGCGCCCCACTACCTGCCGGCCGCCGAAACCCGCAGCCTGAGCTTGGCACGAAATTTGCCGCCTTGGGCCACACAAAAACTATCGCCACAGGGCAACATGTCTCTTGGTCATGTGCGCCATGCAGCGGGAACATGTTTAGCCCTTGTTCCTCTCCCGCAAACGGAACATTGAATCTGAGGAGCAAACGAAATCAATTGAGTAGCCGGAGAGGATGAAGTCCCACTGGGCAGAGGTGCCTCAAGCTGTGATCAATATCTGCTGTGGCAAACATGTCCCATTGCTTAAGTCTTAACATTTGGTCATTCTGAGACCCCGAAAGGCAAAGCACCCGGGGACCCGCATCCGACCCCCACCGGCTGGGCCTGGCCTTCAGGCAGCTCCACCACCAAGCGGACCTGGCCTCTTGCCGGCACCTCAAGTATCGACGGGACGCCACACGACGGGGGGCTCCTCCCAATTACTGAGATGACTTCCTGATAGATGTGAGCCATGTGAGGCCTTTCTCGCTGAACATAAACCAACTATCATTCATCGCAGCAACTCATCTGGGTGCTTGGCAGAAATATCTCCTTGGGGAATGCAGAACGAGCGCATGCAGTCGTCTGTACGGCAAAGAACAAATGTGTACTGTGTAGCATTATACAGCCTCACCGCTTTCCGACTATCATGGCGCATTTGCAAGAACCGATGATGTCCCTGCCTAAAGCTGTCAAATGAGAACTTTGAGGATTGGCCGAGGGACGCCAAAGAATCAACATCAACCGGTGGGCGAACGGTTGCCTGCCGAGTTTCGATAGCTCTCCTCAAACTCGGCACCCACTAGGCGGCGAAGGTGAGTTGCCTGCTCCCGCGTGCAAAGACTCAAACGCAGGAACGCTCTCCACTTAGATCACTCTGGCATCCGCGACACTTGCACCCTCCCTCCTTGAACTCGACCTGCTTTTGGAAGAAGTGGTCGCTGAGGCCCAAGGAAGACAGCTTGGTCAAGGCCTGCTAGCTCGAAACGTCAGCGAGCTCAGTTTTGGGCAGGACTGCCGCCCCTCCTCCTGAGCAAGGCCAGGTCGGCCTTGAGCATAGTGAGCGTAGGCCACGACCAAATGGCAGAAGTGCAGGACGCCTTCGCAGGCGATCCATCGCTGAAGCTTGAGGCAGTGCCTTCAACTTTCAACTTTGTGCACTTGGCCCGCACCTGTTTTCAGACCCTGTGGGCTAAGCTTGGGTTGCAGCGCCTCGGCTCAGCTCTGTGGCACCGAAGCCACACCCAATCCACAAAAGCTGGCAAAAGGAGACCCCAAGCCTTCAGCCCCTGGGACCCGCGCGCAACCTTCAGATGCAAGCTGCAAGGCTTCATCCCAGTGTTCGCCCTGCCGCATTGCCTGAAAAGTCAAAATGGAAACTCGCTGAGCTTGGGCCGATGAGCGTCATACCCCAAAGACAGAACAGCATCCATCCCCGCCTCTGCTTGAATGCACAGACCCATGCAGCGGCCTAAGTGCAGCCGTCCGCACAGCATAGTTGATTCAATAGTCAAAAGTCGTCACGCAATACCTGACAAGAACATACCCTATTGGCCATAGTACAAAAACAAAAACTACTTTGGGGGGTATGTACCATGGGTGGCCCTGGTCAAGCACCACTTTTCGCAGGGGGAGGCGCGCAGGAAGGGCGTCAGCATCGAAAGAGTCTCCAATTTTGGGATATGTTCATGTTGGGGGTGTGTTAGTAGGACCTTACCAGTACCTTACAAAATTGCTGTCCGAGAATCTGTCTGGGTCAAGCTGCGAGTCAGTCTCTTCCTGCACCATCTGAAGAAACTCCTGCCACTCTGCTTGATGGCATAAGAATGCTTCGAGACACGGCCCGGGTTGTTTTGGAGCCCACCGAACACCAATCCTTCGCAGCCTGGGGCTTCATGAAATTCACCCCGCGGTAGACAAGGCAAATCTGGCGGCAAGAGGAGACATGAGTCTGGACCGAAGCAATACCAATCAGTTGGTTTGAGACATGCCGAGTACCGTCGCTTGGACTATATAGTTCAGAGGAATTGCGAGCTGTCTCCATACGCTGTCTTCACTTCTTTTCTCCAGCCTTGAGATACAGCAAAAGAACTGGCTGCCACTTCTCCTCCATAGGGGTGGGCACCTCAAGCTTTCCGTGGACATGGCACCTTTGACACTTCAAGCTCGCTGCACGCCTCGCTTTCTATCTCTGCATGGCCTAGCAAGATCGGTTTGGAAACAGCGTGTTGTGACTGGTTGCTGCTTGTGCGCGCGGTCAGTTGCGTGTGCGTGTGTGCGCGTGTCACGCGTCGTGTGTGTGTGTGTGCGCGCGCATGTGCGTGTGCGTTGTGTGCGTTGTGCCTATTGTGCCTATTGTGTCTGGTGTGTCTGTTGTGTTTGTTGTGTCTGGTGTGTGTGTGTGTGTGTGGTGTGTGTGTGTGTGTTGTGTGAGTGTGGTATGTGTGTGTGTGTGTGTTGCGTGCGTTGCGCTTGTTGTGTGTGTGTGCCTGTGTCTGTGTCTTCTCAGATAAAGTCGTGGAGTCTTCCTATGGAGGTGTGCGTTGTGTGTCTGTGTGTGCGTGTTGTGTGTTGTGTGTGTGCGTGTGGTGTGTGTGGTGTGTGTGGTGTGTGTGGTGTGTGTGGTGTGTGTGGTGTGTGTGGTGTGTGTGGTGTGTGTGGTGTGTGGGGTGTGTGTGTGTGTGTTGCGAGCGCGCTGTGTGTTGCGTGTGTTGCGTGTGTGTGTGTGTGCGCATTGTGTTGTGAGTTGTGAGTGTTCTGTGCGTTTGTCTGTGTTGCGTCTCCGTCTGTGCGTGTGTTGTGTGTCTGTTGTGTGTCTGTTGTGTGTGTGTGTGTCTGTGTGCGTGTTGCGCTTGCCGTGTGTGTGTGTGGGGGGCGTGGTGTGTGTGCTGTCTATTGCGTGTGTGCATGTGTGTGCGTGTCGCGCGCGCACGCGTGTTGCGCGAGTGTGTTGCGTGCGTGTGTGTGTGTGTGTGTGCGTGTGTTGCGTTGTGTGCGTGTGCGTTTTGCGTGTGTCTGTTTCTGTGTGTGTGTTGTGTTCTTTTCGTGTTTGGCGCGCGCGCTGCACGTGTACTGTGTGTTGCGTTGCGCGCGCGCGTCTGTTGCATGTGTCTGCGTCAGTGCGTGTTGTTGCGTCGCCGGCGTGTCGCGCACGTGTGTCTTGTGTTGCGCGACTGTCTGTCTGTGTGTTGAGCGTGCGTCTGCGCGCGCGCTTGTTCTTCTGCGCTGCGCTTCGCCCGTGTTGCGTGCGGTGTGGACGCGCCTTGTGTGTGTGTTGCGTGTGTTGCGCGCGTACAGC